GTTAAAACTCTTGGAGAGATCAAGAATTCAAAACACATACCATAACACAATAAAAGCAATATACAACAAACGAGTAGCCAACATCAAATTCAGTGGAGAGAAACTTGATGAAATTCCACTAAAATCAAGAATAAGGCTGCCCAGTGTATCCCTATCTATTAGTATTTGAAGTTCTTGCATATATTACTTGAATAATATTCTTGAATATAGTTCTTGAAGTTTTAGCTAAAGCAATAAGACAACAAAAGGAGATCAAGGGAATATAAATAAGAAAGGAAGAAGTATTACTATTCACAGATGATATGACAGTATACATGATTGACTCCAGAACCAAATTTCAAAAAGCCCCGTGCAATAATCTGCATTTGTAATGCCTGGGCTAGGGTGGAGCAGACAAGTAAGTTTCCAGGGCTTACTAGATTGCCATTGTAGCCTTCCTTTTTGAGTCATTTAAAGAAACTGACTCAAAAATGGTGTATGGTGCATCAGAAAGATTCTTGGGGATGAACTTTGACATTTATACTCATGCATACACATGCACCTAAATAATAATGCATAAAAATTTTTAAAAAACCAACATTTCAATCTTAGAAACAGAGACTATGGCAGTTATTTTTTTGCGTACACACAGAGAGAAAGACAAAGGGCAGAAGGACACTCACTGCTCAATTCTTGAAAAATTCAAACTGCTCCTTTTGGGATAGATAGTTGATAATTATTTTTTTGTGGTTGTTTTCATTCTGGTTAACATTGTTTTGTTACTTCTTAAGTTTAAGAACTTTGATGTAGTTAAATATTTGTCAAATTGCATTGTCAGTCTTCATTGCTCAGTGTTTTACCTCACTAATCCTTGAAATATAATTCTCTTTTTCTCAAAACAATCCTTCTGCTGAATCTTCCATCTTTGAGAACATCTGCAGATTTCATTACTATTATTAGTTTCCTTTATTTCTTTTGATAAACATTGTATCTCTTATTTTAATTCATTATTCTTGTTTTTTTTTATGACTAGCTCCACTTCATGCATGTTTTTCCTTTTGTCCTTACTTTTTTTTTAAAAAGATAGGATAGTTATGATTATTTTGTCTTAATGTTTGTCAGTGTATTACATGTGTGTCTTGTGCAGACAGAGTCTGAAAGAGGATGTAGAATTCCCTGGAATGGGAGTTACAAACAGTTTGAGCAGCCATGTGAGTGCTGGAAATAGGATCCACATCATATGGAAGAGCAGCCTTACCATTCAGCAATCTCTGCTAACCTGGCCTATGTTCTTTTTATTCTCTTTTGAAATTATTTTTATTTGATTTAATAGTGCATATTGAAAAACAGGCCCTGCCTCATTGCATATTTTGAGACATCAACTGGGCCTTTTGTTCTTCATGAAACTATTGCAAACAGAACTGACACATTTGAGAATCATTACTTGCCTGAAAACAATATAAAACTTATTGCTATAATTCTGCTCAATTAAAAATATATATAGTCATATTGTTGCTAAAAGTGGAAAAAGGTATTCACCTCACTACTTGGCCTCTGGATCCTTCTCAAGTTCAAGCATGAAATTTGGGTGCTACAAATTGCCAGTGAGGGTCAGTTAGCTAAAACCTAATTTTGGCTCTTTCCTGAACTTCTTCATTGTGCAGTCACAAAATAATATTAGAACATCACTAGGTTTCTATGCATACATTACTGATATCTCTTAAAATAAAAGACATCCACTTATTGCCTATGCCTTTAAGACTGAGACAGGGAGTATTGCCAGAAGTTACTAAGGGCTATGGATAAAGAACAAAAGGAAGACAGACTCTAAACTCTGTCTTTAGTGAGTATAAGATGATACAACATCATTATGTATGTTTTATATACATTATACACTGTTAACATGGGTTCAGGTCTCTCAGTGTTAGAGTATAAATTCATAAAGATGGTCATAGCATAGAAGCCCAAAGATACCTGAAGGAATTGAACTCTTCTGCTTGATACCACTGTTGCAGTTAAACAAGACAGCACCGTTGCAGGTAGACAAAAGGCAGAGATAGGGTTTAAATGGTTCTGACTCTTCAGCACACAGGTAGAAAATACTTTGCTATGACCCACACACTTTCATATAAAAAAACCTATGTACATTGTAAACTTTAAGAACATTAACTCTCTCAAATACTTCCTCATCTTCATGACTGTTCACCACACTCTATCTTTCACTAAACTCCAGGGTCCTAGGAACAACTCAATATTCAAGCATTTGTCTTCAAGTCTAACATAACGCCTGGAAATTTCTCTTTTGCAAGAAAAATCTGGGGTTGGCTAAAATACTTTACCTACAAGTTATATGCCTTCTCATAATGATGAGGATTATCTTAATGATGGCAGAATGGTTATAAAGAAGTAAGAGAATTACAAGGCATATTGAGCATCCACTCTGGAAGTGTGACTCTCTTACTGGACCAGTAGGTTTTTGTCCTGACTCATCATGTGTTTGTAACCCTGAGCCTTTGAAAACAGAGCACACTCATTTTTCAGACACACAGTAGATACCAAACAAGGTTCTTCATTTATTGCTGCTATCATCCTCCCCACAGGATTCTGTTGAGGGGTGATTTTTAATACCATCATATCTTGGGATCTGAAACTTGAACAATAGAAACTGCCCCAAGTGGCCCCATTTATGGAACATTAGAGCCAATCTATCTACTTGCATCATTCTAGATCTCTAGTGATATCTCTGCTCTCAGCCTGCATACTTTATTTTATTTCTCATATCTACTAGTTTTCAACCTGTGGGTCATGACCTCTTTGGTGTCACATATCAAATATCTTTTATACCAGATATTTACAATACAATTCATAGCAGTAGCAAAATTATAATGATAATTTAACAAAAAAATCATTTCGTGGTTGAGGGTCCCCACAATATGATGAAGTGCATCAAAATTCACTTAACTGGGAAGGTTGAGGGTCACTGAACTATTAGTTAAACAGAGAATATTCTTTTTCCTATACTGATATTATATATTTTGCTAAAGCTTTCCATACTTATTATATCAGACTTGTACAGAGACAGTTTGAACTCTCTGAGGTCGGAAGTCCCTATTTCTCTGCTTTCACTAGACACCAGGTTAGAGACTTTGCTTCCTTTAAACATTTATGTCCTCGTCATTTAGTCTATGGAAACATCGATGCTCACTCAGTTCTTAATTGGGAATGCATGAATAAAGAAGAAATTTCAAATTTTAAACTGATTAGAAATATGATAGTGTGGAAATGAGGGCAGAAATTACTGGAATATTCCTATTACTAAAACGTACATTTCCTCACAAATATATTCACAATCCCTCAGTGTTAGTCTCATTATTTACATATGTACATCTCATGGGTGGCAGATGCTGCATTATATGGGGTCTTGCTTCTGCCCAGTTACAGAGCTCAGGCCGCTCAGTGAGGCAGAATGCTCTGGAGTTTTGACTGTGTTTTCCCCATGCAGGTGCCAGGAGGGCATCAGGCTACCAGAAGTCCTGGGACACCACTCTTAGAAAGCACAGTCTGAGATCCCTGGGACAGCAGGAGCTGGCTTGGGAATCCTGGGGCCTGCCAATCTGGTTCTCAGGCTCTTGAAAGCTGCTAGGAGGCTTAGAAGAGCTGAGAAAGGAGTGGGGGCCAGGGGTATGAGGCTGAAAGGGAGAAGTAGAGAGTGCTCCAGCTGCATCCCTCGGGAAGAATGTCCTTGCCTTGGTGAGCAGGCATCTTGGCTTGGTGGTCCTGGCTAAGAGCAGAGAGAAGCCTAGGTGAAGGCCTTCTCTATGGCTCCCCATAGCGGATCCCCATAATAAGGGGCAGTCCATGGTTTTAAGGCTTTTATTGTCGTAGTGGAATAAGCAAGAAAATTACTACAGCCACCATTAGCTATAAGTTTCTAGAAAGACATGCCCTTGGGACTTTGAAGGGAGTATGGCCATGTGAATATTTCGATTTAAGAGTTCTGATCTTGCTGGGCAGTGGTAGCACATGCCTTTAATCCCAGCACTTGGGAGGCAGAGGCAGGCAGATTTCTGAGGTCAAGACCAGCCTGGTCTACAGAGTGAGTTCCAGGACAGCCAGGGCTATACAGAGAAACCCTGTCTCGGAAAAACAAAACAAACAAACAAACAAATGAACAAAATAAAAGAGTTCTGATCTTTAGAAAGAATGAATAAATTGGTTGTTTTAATAAAGAAAACAAACAAAAAAACAAAACAACATTAATAAAAAACAGTACCCCATTTTCAGAGAGGAGTGTCTGGGAAAGAAACCTTAATTGGGTACCTTCAGGCATTTAGAAAACTCATTAAAATGATGATCTGTCTTAAGGCTATGTGACTTGTGGTCATGTCCTCTACCTGTGGAAGAGCTGGGGGGCACTGCTCTTATGTGAGTAATAGCTACAAATCTATGGAGGGCTGTGGCCTACTGTCAGGAGCCTACTGTCTGGGAACAAGACAAAACCCTTACTATTCCTCAGGGTCACTGGGGTTTCCAACCTTAGCTCAACCAAGAATCAGGCTGCCTTTCATGGTCCTACACTGAATAGACAGCACTATTCTTTAGATAAACAGGCATTTGAAATTGTAAGAAGTCCATGAAAGCTGTACAAAACATGAAAGATCTTCCTCAGCCCTTGTCATGTTACATGTCTCTGCCTTTGCTAGATTTAGAATGCTTCAGCTAGAAACCTGAATAATTTGTTGACACTTAATATCCTTGTTCCTTCTTTTGGAAACACAAGATAGAATACTACTCAAATCATTCTCACCTATATCATTACAGTTTCTATAGAATATATTCCATGTTTAAAAATAGAGTAAGTCAGGAGGAGGCAAAATGATTTTCAAAAGTACATCCATGGACCAAGGGGCATTGCTCTATTTAATTAACATATAGGCCCCTAAACACAAGTCCCACTGAACGCACATGTCTGCCTCTCCTTGATACAACTACACTCAACTGACTATTGAAATGTTTTTCAGTTTGTGAAGAAATATGGAAACCTAATTAGTCTTGATTTTGGTAACATCTCTTCAGTGATTATAACTGGACTTCCCTTAATCAAAGAAGTTTGCACTGACATGGAACAAAACTTTTTGAAACGCCCCAGGATACCTAGCAGGGAACATGTGTTTAAAGACAATGGTAAGTTTAACTGGGAGCAATAGTGAATTCATTGGGTTATTAAAAATAAGACATGAATTGAGGTGGAAAATGGGACTCATGTGGGAAGGATCCATGGAGAGCTGGAGGCAGGGAGTAGGAAAACTAGAGGATCAAGATGCATTGCACATTTATGAAACTTTTAAAAGTGAAAAAAGTACAGATACCATTAGGTTTCTGGTACAATATAAGGTTTGGTTTTGCTATGTTAAAGATACTTCTAAGTCTGTAACTCTACAACATTTCTATGAACCAAACCCTTCATGAAATGAATTTTATTGTTTTATCATACCGCTACCCACACCTTTTCCCCTTCTCCTCAGAAAAGGATAGGCCTCCCATGGATATCACCCCTACTTGGCTTATCAAGTTGTAGTAAGGCTGGATATAACTTCATTTATTGAAGCTAGACAAAGCATCCCGGTTAGAGGAAAGGGATCCAAAGAAAGGAAATGTTATCTTTAAATCAGCTGTTACCATATTTCCTCAGTGAAAGTAGCCATCAGGGGACTGAGAGCATATCCCTCTAAGAGAGACTTGAAAAAACCACATGTCTGTAGACTAACTCTAGAGACATAGTAACAGCAGCACATTCCACAGCCAGACATATGCGTTCTCATTCTCTTTCCCGCTCCAACACTCTGCCTTACCAAAACAGATGTGAGGCACCTTCCTACTGCTGCTGCTGCTCTTCCTATGGTTCCTTAAACTGCATCATCCAGGCCATGCCACACAGGCATCTCTAGCCGTCCAAATAGTGTTAGAATAGACTGACATGAGATCACAAAAAGATAATTAAATCAAGTTATGTCTTTGACAGTTGAAAACAGTCTTCAAATGTATTGACCTGCAAAGGCTTCACTTTAGCTACTTCCTAATTTCTTCTTGAAACAATCAACCATAAATTGTACACCACCGACTACCTTATCTGCTATGATTAGCACACTTATGGTTTTAAGTGATTGATAGTGAGCAGGATAGGTAAAAATTAATCTCATTGAGTGACATGTAGTATCTGAAGGCCATATTTAAGTGGATAGAAAACTGTTGAGATGGGCAGGACAGAGCCCGGCTCTTAATTTTCATCATATCTGTAAGAGAAGCTTTTGCGTGGTGTTGGAGAGAGTATAAAATCAGACTCCACATTTTAAGGCTCATTCAGGATGCTAGATAAAGAACACAGGCATGACAGCAAAGATACTATCATTGTAACTATAAAAGAAGGCATTTGAACACTCAACTTGACAAAAAAATGACAGCAGGTTAGACTGAAGCAGGGACATTATAACCTTAAGGACTGAAGTTAGAGAGAAGCCATAGATCGCTGTGAATTTCCATATTTGCCCTTCATTTCATCTATACATGCACCTAATACAGTTTTTTGTTTTACATATTTTAAAACTAGAATCAAAATATCATGATGCTGAGTCTCTCTTTTTACAGGAATTGTTTTTTCTAGTGGCCAGACATGGAAGGAGCAAAGAAGGTTTGCACTGACGATACTCAAGAATTTTGGTTTAGGGAAGAAGAGCTTAGAGCAGCGCATACAGGAAGAGGCCCAGCATCTTGTGAAGGTCATAGAAGAGGAGAAAGGTGGGCATTTCATAGGTTGGTACAGGAAGTTCTAGAAATTTCGTTAATTGAGCACCTAATTATTAGATAAATGTTGTCCTTGGCCTGCAGTGTTATAGGCACTGAAGATGGAATAGTTAACAAGTAGCCATGTCCCTGCTCCAGATGCTCTGTAGCTAAGCACACAAATGGGTCATTAAACAATTGTTGACCATAAAGCCTGATTATCTATGTGACTTCCTACATATTGCCAGTGTCCTTTAATCATGCAGGGTTCCATGTAGGGGGCTGTGGCCAGAGATTCCCACATTATCCTCTAATGCGTATATTTTATGACATACAGAGTAGAACCTTCATTAAATAAAAAGAGAAAAAGAAAGAAAGGAAGGAAGGAAGGAAGGAAGGAAGGAAGGAAGAAAGGAAGAAAGAAGGAAAGAAAGAAAGGAAGAAAAAGAAAGAGAGAGAGAGAGAGAGAGAGAGAGAGAGAGAATGGGAGAGAGAGAAAGAGAGAAGGGGGGAAGAATTAATATCTTTAAAAGACTCAATGCTCTCGTATCTCCATCTCCAGGACAGCCTTTTGACCCTCACTTTAGGATCAACAATGCAGTTTCCAATATCATTTGCTCCATCACCTTTGGGGAGCGCTTTGAGTATGAGGACAGTCAGTTTCAGGAACTAATGAAGTTAATAGATGCGACCTTGTGTTCTGCAGCATCAGTGACGTTAGTGGTAAGTAACCTGCCTTTGCATATTTTCAAAAGTATATTGCATTGAGACTGTTTCAAAAAAAATAGGTTTAACTTTTTATTTGGGGGAATTTTTGAAATTAATATTATGTCTTAAAAGTTTAGTTTGATACTAAACCTATTTACAATATATGATTTTAGCATATGCAAAATATTTATAGCATTTATATGAACTATTTTAACATTTATAATGATATATACATAAAGGTGGGAGTATTACTTCTATTTTTCATTAATTTTTTTTAAACTTCTTTATTTTACATCCACATTGCAGCCCCCACTCTCTTCCCAATTCTACCTTCACAATTCAATCCTCCCATAACACTCTCTTCTCTTCAGAGAAGGAGAAGGTCTCTGTATGGACCAACCATTCTTAGCATATCAAGTTGTACTGGGACTAAGCATGTTATCTCCTACTGAGGCCCAGCAAGGCAGTCCAGTCAAGGAAAGGGGATCCAAAAGCAGGCAGCATACTCAAAGATAGCTCATGTTCCAATTGTTAGAGTAGTCACAAGAAGGCAAAGCTGCACATCTACTACTGTTGTATAGGGGGCCTTGATCCAACCCTGAATGTTCTTTGCTTGGTGGTTCAGTCTCTGTGAGCCCCCATGGGCCCAAACTATTGCTTTCAAGGTTATTTCTCTATTTCTCTTCTATGAGATTTGGTGTATCCAGTTTTATGTTCAGGTCCTTGATCCACTTAGACTTGTGTTTTGGACAGGGTGATGAATATGGATCTATTTGCATTCTTCTACATGTAGACATCCAATTAGATCAGCATGATTTGTTGGAGATGCTTTCTTCTGTTGTATGACTTTGGCTTCTTTAACAAAAATCAAGTGTCCATAGATGTGTGGATTTATTTCTGAGTCTTTGATTTGATTCCATTTGGTCAATGTGTGTGTTTCTGCACTAATAATGCCATACTTTTGTTATCCCTATTGCTCCGTAGTACAGCTTGAAGTCAGGGATGGATATTGTCAAAGGCTTTTTTAGCGTGTAATGAAATAACCATGTAATTTTTTCAATCAGTTTATCTATATGGTGGATTAAGTTGGTGGAATGTTTGTATACTTAACAGTCCCTGCAATCCTGGGATGAAGTTTACTTGAGTGATGTTTTTGATGTGTTCCTGAATTCTGTTTGCAAGTATTTTATTGAGTACTTTTGAATCAATGGTCATAAGAGAAAGTGGTCTGAAATTCTCTTATATTGAGTCTTTGTGTGGCTTAAGTATTGAGTGACTCTGGCTTCAGAGAATGAGTTTGGCAGACTTCCTTCTGTTTTTATTTTGTAGACTAGTTTGAGGAGTTTTATTAGCTCTTCTTTGAAAGTCTGGTATAGTTCTATACTAAAACCACCTGGCCTTGGAGTTATTGTTGTTGTTGTTGTTGAATTTGTTGTTGTTGTTGATGTTGTGAGATGTTTAGTAACTGCTTCTGTTTCCTTAGGGGCTATAAGACTATTAACTTTGGAAGGCGGTACCTCTCTAGAAAATCATCCATTGTGTTAAAATGTTCCAATTTTTTGGAATACATGCTTTGAAGTAAGACTCAATGATTCTTTGAACTTCTCAGCGTCTGTTGTTATGTCTCCCTTTTCATTTCTGATATTGTTTATTTAGACACAGTCTCTCTGTCCTTTGGGAAGTTTGGCTAAGGGTTTGTCTATCTTGATTTTTTTCAAAGAACCAGGAATTGATTTCTTCAATTCTTTGTATCGTTTTCTTTTTGTCTAATTGATTGATTTTAAACCTGATTTTGGTTATTTCCTGCCTTTTACTCTTCTTTGTTGTACTTGCTTCTTTTTTCTAGACCTTTCAGGTATAGTTTAAACTTGTTAGAGAAATTCATAATTTCTTCATGGAGGCATGTGGTCCTATGAACTTTCCTGTTAGAACTGCTTTCATAAATTTGAGTTTGTTGTGGCAGCGTTATAACAAACATTTTTGGCATAGGAAATTATATTAGACACTTTGATAGACACTTCAAATGTACATGTCAATGAATTATCTCAATGACTCTCTACATATAAAAGTATACAGCAGGATATCTGAAATCTGGTACAATTACTTGGTTTTTACAGGGAAAAAGTCAGAAAAATCAATGAGAAAACCAATAACATTTTAAAAGGTCAGTAGCATGCAAGACATGTGCAGCAAAGAAACTGAGGTTTGAAAGAAAACAAAGTACAAATAGAAATGTATTTATATAAAACTACACAAGCAAAATAGAGCCCAGTCCACCAGAACTCTGTAAAATGCTGTGTATCTTTAAAAACATTCAGTTGGCAAAGAGAGTGAGACTCCACTAGTAAGGAGTCTACTATCAATATTACTCAATATTATTAATTATATTAAACATTGATATATTTAATGTTATCAGTATTAAGTGTTAATATACCTTAATGTTATGAATAATATTAAAAATAAATATTGACCTATTTTAACACTATTAATAACATTAAAAATGTTTAATATTGTTGTGCTGTCAAACCTGAAGTTCATAGAATAAACAGCACACATCTGACTCCTTGAAGTGTTGATTTTACGCTGTGCCATATTATCTATATACTACAAAGTATTATTGGAATTATAGTCACCATCTATTTTACTTAACTAAAGATTGTTATCTGTATCTTTAATACAGATATTAAATCATGTTGGAGGCAGAACCATGTGTAGCTACCTGAACAACACATACTAGTGGTAATTTTCTGATGGCAAAATAAATGCTTAAACCTCCTCCCAGTTAGAATGTACGTGAAAAGATGCCTATCTTCTTGACAATAATCAAATAGCAAAGCTTCAAGCACTTGACTTCAGAGCATTACTTTCATGATGTAAATGACAGGGCCCATGTTAATTTCAGAGATATTATATATTCCCTATGAAAATCAACTTCAATGACTTGAAATAGAAATGCCCTCAATGTGATTCAGAGGCCATGATGGTTGGACAGTACAGAGGAATATAATGGAGATTTGAAAGGTTCTACTTCTGTAGCGCTTATATATACAAAGTACTGTTTGACACTGAGTGAAGTAGATGGCTTTTGAGGATTGTAAGACAAAAAGTGAATCCATATGATCACATTGTTAAATGTTCTCTATGGAAAATGTGGGCAAAATGATTTGAAAATGCATTAATGGTGGAAATAAGAAAATGTTTAATTGTATGCCAACATTCAGAAATGGGAGAAATGTTGGAGTACACCAGGAAGCAAAAAGCTGGGATGATTAAAATGATCTGTTGCTTTACATATTTTGCAAGGCACAGTTAAAATGCATGATATGAAGCGGTGAGAGGAAGACTTGAAACCAAGATGGCATGGATGTTACCACAAAGGGGAAAGGACAAGATTATTTAAAAATGTGGAAAAGTTATTCCATGGTATCTCCAATATTTTCTTATTTTTCTTTATAAGCTCTACAATGCCTTTCCATCCATATTTAAATATCTTCCTGGACCACATCAAACAGATTTCAGAAACTGGGAAAAACTGAAAATGATTGTGGGAAGTATAATTGATAGTCACCGAAAAGATTGGAATCCTGATGAGCCAAGAGACTTCATTGATGCTTTCCTTAAAGAAATGACAAAGGTGAGGAAAATGTTGCCTAGGTGTTCTTAGAAAAAAAATATGGTGGTTTAGAATATTCTAGCAGACCTTACACCATGCTGTCATATATTTAAGGGTATAACACTGCACTGATTCACTACTAAATAAATCCCTATGCCTGTTAGCCAAGCAATCTTCTTTTGAGGATTATAGAGACTCCATCACAAGGATGCTCCAAGCTCGCAAAGGGCACTTTATATATCCTTGGCTATATCTCCCTTCCTTTGTATTCAGTACCAAGTATGTAGCATCTTATTTCCTCTCTTCATCTGCTTCCATCTTTGCATCTCTTCTCCCTGGTTCTTATCAAGTATCCCAGTAATTAAGATAATCCAGGGTAGTATTTCTTCTCTAAAAAGAATCACACTTGCAAAGTCAGTTTTAGCTTATCAGCAACATGCAAAGCTTATAAAATCATGATCTGTGAATCTTGTAGATTTCTGATTAACACACTGTGAAAATATCAATTAGAAATAGTATTTTAGAAATGAATAAAGAAGTATATCAGGAATATCATTAGAAGGAAGTGGTTCATTGCACACTGGAATGAGTTCATAAAAATGGAGATAATGAATCCCTATGCCCCTACTTGCACTTTGCCCTTAGGTGAAGAAATACACAAAGTAAAAGTAGTAATTAAACTTCAGAACTCTAGTTTTAGATGAGATAATCCAAAGGTAGTCATGCACCCCATCTCAGTCAACATTGAGTTTGATTGAATGCTGGAGATTAATTTCAAAGTTTGGGTGGTGCCTCTGCCTTCCTCTGTCCCCACATCATGACTCTATAATCACATAAAGGCTGGAAAACAGTTGTTTGCATATATGTGTTGCCTGTGTATCATTGTGACATGACGTAGCAAAAACAATTTGAGGGGTTGAAGTTTTTGGTTCAAAACTTCAGGGGTACATTTGATCTGTTCTCACAGAGAAGGATTGGCAGATTGTCTTAGTTTATGGTGTCAATGTCAAGGGGTGTGCTGGGGTCTGCACATCATTGTGTACCAGGAAGCAGAAGGTAGAACCTAGGACCTTTTACAATGTTGAGTACCTCCCCTAGTCAAGGAAATAGTCAAACTCAAAGCTGAAATCAATCAACTAGAAACAAAAAGAACAACACAAAGGATCTGCAAAACTAGAAGCTGGTTGTTTGAGAAAATCAGCAAGATAGACAAACCCTTAGCCAAACTAACTGAAAAGGCTGAGAGACAGTATCCAAATAAACAAAATCAGAAATAAAAAGGGAGACATAACCACAGAGACTGAGGAAATTCAAAAAATCATTATGTCCCACTTCAAAAGCCTCCATTCTATAAATTGGAAAATTTAAATAAAATGATTTTCTAGACAGATACAACTCCCAAATCAAGATCAAGTAAACTATCAGAACAGTCCTATAATCTTTAAGAAAAATAAAAGTAGTCATTAAAAGTTAACCACACTGGACTTTTGGGAGCTCTCAGAGACTGAGCTACTAACCAAAAAGTGTACACAGGCTGGACTGACAACCCCAATGTATGTGTTGCAGATGTGCAGCTAAGTCACTATGTAGATCCTCCAACAATTGGAACAGAAGTTATCCCTAAAGCTGTTGCCTGTCTGTGGAATCCATTCCCCAACTGGAATGCCTGGTTGCCCTAAGTCAGGGAAGATGGGGCTAAACCTGTAAAGAATTAGTGCTCCAGAGTGGGGAGATACTTAGAGAAGTTACCCTCCATCTCAGAGGAGAAGGTGAGGGGTTGAAAAGGGAGGACAAGTGATAGGGATATGGAGGAATGACTGGGATAGGAGGGCAGTTTTTAGGATGTAAATGAATAAATTAATTCATCAATAAAAATATAAAATTAACTGGAGAACATGAACAAAGAGAATAATAAATAAATAAATTAGTTAATTAATAAAACAAAGAGGAAACTCTCTTTTAAAAAGTACACAATGCCATTCTAGTACCCAGATAAGACTACTACAAGTTTCAATGAAGAAAACCTCATCTGCAGCACTCTGGACCTCTTCCTTGCTGGAACAGAGACAACATCCACAACACTGCGCTGGGCTCTGCTCTACATGGCCCTCTACCCAGAAGTCCAAGGTGAGCATGTGCTGAATGTACCTGGAAAAGGCAGAATGGGACTTCTGAAAGTTGTTACTTAGATGGGGCCAGAAGATAGAATAGTGGAGTGGAAAAACAAAGAACAGCTTTGAGACAAGGTGTTGTGGAGAAAGGTCATGGCCTTCTCATGTCCTGTCAGGATTGTACAGACTTTGTAATCTGTCTTTAAAGAAGCTTCAGTCCTAGAGCTAAATAGAGAAGTCAGCTGTCTTTGTGGTAGGTTCCATCAAAGAGTGTGAGTGTCTCATAAAAATCCGCTCAGCTCATTTTTCCTTTACAGAACTGCCATCCTATTTTGCCCTGGATACCCTCCAGATGACTTTGTTTGATACCTTGCAACAAATTTATGTTACCACACATATTTTGCATGGTGCATCCCTGCATTCCATTTTCTCCATTAGCATTGCCTTTAATCTTACCTCTAAGTAGGGTTTGGGCTTTATATTTACCAGAAATGTACTATTCAATTTCTTGAGATTTCAGAACAATTTTCTCAGATACTACCCCAAATATGTTTTAAATTCTGCCAAGAATTTAATGCTTGGCAATTTGCTGCCTTACCTCCATCAAGATATGTAGTTACTACATCTTCACAGGGATTTTCGCACCTTCAGAAATAGTGGCCCATCCCATCACATTATTCCTCTGATTATAGAACACATTTTCTGGTGAGAGATAAGAATACTCTTCATGTCATAGAGCATTTCTTCAAATCCTGATAAAAGGTTATGTATGAAGTGTAAGTCATTGTAGCACACTCAAGCCAACTATTCTGCCATGCGATGAAAATAAGAGCAGTGATCATAATGTCTCCCATTAGTAAAGATCATCTGGTAATTTCTTAAGCTTCATTCACTTTGTAATACAGGGCATTTCACTGCCCTGGCACTTACCAAGTAGACAAGGCTTCTTGCCAGTGAGGCACAGAAATCTGTCCATCTCTGCCTCCCCAGAGCACTGTCAATAGGAATATGTGCCACCATATCTGGATTTTTACATGAACCCTAGGGATCACACTTAGATTCTCATGTTCGCATAGCTGTCTGTTTATATGCTGAGCTATATTTCATGGCCAACGTTTTCTTTATTGATCAAAATGTATATATCATTATATCTATATCTCTGTCTCAATCTATATATGTTACCTACAATTCTGTTGTTGTGATATATTATAACCAAAACTAATTTATAAACATGAAACTTTATTATTACTGATTGAATCTATGCAGGAAGTCAAGCACTAGAGAGCAAAGTCAGGAGACTTTGACTCCAAAAGAAATCTAGGAAAGTGTGTTTTTAGTGGTACAACAGTAGAACCCCCAATATGATTCAAAATAGGGAAAATTTAGGGAGAAAACCTAGCAATTTCAAATTCTGTTACACTTATATCAGACTGCATATTATCAAATAATTCTTAGAAAAAGTCCTATCTTTAGGATACAGATGAGTAAAGTGGTGAAAAATGAGACTGAGCCTAGGAGAATGTCAGTAGCTTCAGAAGCAAAAATACTCAGTAAAAGTTTGCAATATACCTTCCAGTTTGATACATCTCCTTAAGTAATCACAGTCTACAGATGCTCAGTGGTTTTAAATTGTATGTCCTCCCTATGAACTCATCTCCTGAAATTCTGTTACCAGTGGATTGGCTAGCTTTGTGAACTACTTAAGTGACTTTGAAAGAGATACCAGACATGTCAATGAGATGGTTCAGCTAGCAAAATGGATAGCTGCAAGCCTGACCTCCTGAGTTCAACCCCCTACAAACGAGATTGTACAGGAGGAGAACTGACTCCAGCAATTTGTCCTGTGAACATCACTTTTTCACTTTGGAACATGTGCAAGTGCTCACAAATAGAAAATATTTTAAATACTTCTTTTTTAAAAAAAAAATAAGAACCAAAGAACCCCTCTCTTCCTTTGAACACTGGTACACAAAAAAGTTTCCTCATTTAGAGACAGAATATCAATCCTTATCAGATAACAAATCTCCTAATACCTTTATTGTAGATATGGTGATCCTCAAACTCTAAGTAATGAACCCTTATTTTTCTAAACCCTTTGGTTAAGAGAATTTATATGCAGAAGCCTGAATGGGTACTGTTCTGAGCTTAGTCATGCTAATCAGATCTATTCAGTCCTGAGTAGGTTGAAATCTGTGGTTATGTCTTAAGCACAAGGAAAATCAGAGTTGACAGTTTCCATAGGAGTTTATTGAGAAGATGAGGAACATGGTGTTTCTTGGTAAACAGAACACTGAATAAAACGTAAAAAGACAACATCTTGGACACTACTCTTCTGTCTTCACAAGAAAGCACTATACTTTGAAGATGATAGGACCCTTATTTTCTTTCAGAAAAAGTACACACTGAGATTGATGGAGTGATTGGACAATGGAGGCAGCCAAGCACAGATGACAGAGACTCTATGCCCTACACAAATGCTGTCGTCCACGAGGTGCAGAGGATGGGCAACATCATACCCTTGAGTATTCCCAGGGAAGTGACAGCTGATACCACTTTGGCAGGATTCCACCTGCCTAAGGTAAACTTACATTATCAGCTTCCGATCTCCAGTTCATTGTTCGTTATTTGAGGAACCTAATCATAAAAGTAAAATTTATTCCCCCCCAAAGAAAGCATTTAAAATTAAAGAGAGATTTTATTCATAACAGAGCATAAGCATTCCTCCTGTGTGCCTAAGTGCTGTTTACGTGTATCTTGGGAAATACAGAAATGGAGACTCCTTGGTTGAATTTGCTTAGTCAAAGACAGCTTTATTTACTAAAGAACACCCTCTTGCTAATGTTCATTCACAAGAGTAAACATTCCGATGCCATATGCAAGCTCATAGGTGGTTTTCTAGTATTTTCTTACTCTCCCACAGTTGAGAACTTTCTATCTCATAAAGAAATCTAGTCCAAAGTGAAATAATAATTCTTAGAAAGGGACAGAAAAAAACAGGCAGTTGCCAAGAAAACATGTATTGAGAATTCTTATGTATTTCAAAATTTCTTAATCTCTTTTACATGAGTATTGATCTCTTCTTTCTTCTTTTTAGTAGAAATTGTGACTGTGAAATAAGTTTACATAAAGTCCCTCTACTACAATATAAAATGTCCTAGCCATTTATTTGGGATTAAACCTGTTCTGATTATTTGTACTAATGATTATATTAGACATTGAAAGATCTCCTGTATACTTTTATGCATGGATCACTCTTACATCCCTCTATTCTCAGATCTTAGCTCATGATTTACTCAGGATTTCTGAAGAGAGCTCTCTTGACCACATCATACTCTTTCTGTCCAAGGCACAATTATTATCCTTTCCATTCTTTCTCCACACTGTGAACCAAAGATAACAAAACATTTCTTCACAGTAGCAAAATAAAATGCCCAAGGTTTCAGTTCAGCATGGCACCAAGGGGGAGGCACAGTAGATCTTTCTTCATGTTGGTGGCCAGGAAGCAATAAGAAAGCCTGCGGGAGGCTATCTTCCCACTCCATTTATTTTACCCAGTTCTTCAGTGTTGACTAAGGTGCCGCATATCAGGAAGCTCTACTGCCATTAGATAATAAGCTATGGAAATGCCCTCACAGCTACTCTCACTGGAATTCTATTATAATCTCCTAGACAATTATAAATTACTCAGAATGTGTTGTTCTCAGGAAAGTCCTCAGAGTTTGGAGCAGAAGAGTCTCTCCTGGAAACACAAATAAAACCATGTCTATAACACCTAGAAACAGAAAACCTTCACTTATGACCTTTACAATGGATTGTCAATTTCAAATATACTATCACCTATAGACACTGACAAACTGACTGGATAATATGAAAGTGAGTCAAGGAGCCATGGCTTTAATTTTACAAGGACCTAGTTCCTGAAATGGCTGCAGCTCTGTCCTCTGTGTGGCTCTAAGAAAATTGTTAATCTCTCAATGCATTGATTCCTATATGTCTATCATGACACAGAATAATGTATAGTCCTTACAGGAAGAGGTCAATCATGCAGAACTTATCACTCCATATAACAGTTATACATTTTGTTTATCTTAAGATAATCTTATCTTACGATTATCTGTCTGTAAAACATCCTGAAAAATGTGACCTTGTAAGTGCCTGATTATAAATCATGGGAATGTCCAGAGGAAAGCATCCTGGCACTGTCTAGAAGCAGATGAAGCCTGGGAAGGAATAAGAGAGGTTCTAAAGTAAAACATGCAGGTTTGGAGAATGAAAGTAGTAGATTTTAGTCTGACAACATGAGGGAGGATTAGGGTTCATGTCAAGGATACTAAATGGAATTTGAATGATTGCAAAATTGAGAAAGTAAATATCAGCATATGTCATCTTAGGCAGTAGGGAAAATTGGCTGTGGAGAATCAAAGAATGTCTTTTTATTGTAAGACTGAGGTAATCTTCCAGAGTAGGCAATGAAAATGATGGGAGATACAAGTGTATAGCTTTTAGTTTGTATTCATGACATAAGCATTGTCAGGTGTGAAATACATGAAGATCTAAGGTATCAAGGAGGTGGGAGCAAATAATAACTGACATAGCACAACCAAGAGAGATTGAAAGAATGGTTTGTGAATTGGATGGGGTGGATGAGACAGTATGAAGTAAAGGCACACATTGGAGAATCTGGGCACCATGCCAGGAAGACTGGTGTAGATTCTGCTTGCTTACTCTACATGCTTGATGTTTTCCTAACCCTGCTGAGAGACTGGGTACAGAAGCTGCTGAGGGCTAAGAAGAGAGAGGATGAGATGGCAGACACACTATTTTCTTTTGCAGATCTTCCATAGTCCTCACTGTAAGAAGTAGCTGCATTGAAGGTTACTTACCTCTAGTCCTTTATCTTCCCATGGATGGCCACGTGCCTTCTCCCTACCATATGCTGACCTAGTCCCACAGGCCAGCATTTTATAATAAAAATAAGCCTAATGTCATGAAATATGCTAAGCACACACTGTTCATCATTGATCTGCACTAAGGACAGGTTTTTGAGAGAGCTTAGAGTTTAAATCAGAATGAGATATTGGGAAGCCCCATCCCTTGTGTCTAGATCCATACTTCAATCCTTGGATCTTGGATTTCTCTTTTAGGGCAAGATGATCCTCATCAATTTGACTGCTCTGCACAGAGACCCCAAAGAGTGGGCCACTCCAGACACCTTCAATCCAGAGCACTTTTTGGAGAATGGACACTTTAAGATGAGAGAATCTTTTCTGCCATTCTCAATGGGTGAGTGGTAGTGAGAAGGAAACTTGTCAGAATTCCACCTCATTCCTTCCCTTCTCTTCTGCCTAGAAATATCTGTTCTATTTGACCATCTCCATATAGCTCCACCCACTGCAGCTAAGGTCTTGTTTGACTCATGGTTTCAGAGCCCCTAGTCTATGGGCAGCTAGTCACTAAGCCTATGTTTGAAGTGACAATGTGCACGTTTTAGAAGTTTTTGGCTGAAGAACATGGTGACCACATGGTTGCCAGAAACCTAGAAAATGATGCTCCTAGTTTGCATCTATCCCAGTAGGGACATGACTCAAATGATCTACTTTAGGTACATAGCTACTAAATTTTCTACCACTTCTGAATGGTGTCACAATCAAGATGGTACTTGAATTGATTACTATTTTATTCATGTGAGAAGATGCAATGACCAAAACAATTCTTATAAAAGAAAGCATCTAATTGGAGGCTTGCTTCTAGATTCATAGGATTAGTCCATGATCATTATGGGAAGAAGCAGACATGCATAACACTGAAGTATTAGCTGAGAATTTTACATCTATATCCACAGGCAGATGAGGGGGGTGCCTTGGAGAGGGAGAAAGAAAATGGATAGAGAAAGGTACAGGGAGAGGGAGTGGAAAAGAGGGGAAGGGAGAAACAAGGGAAGGGAGGGAAGAAGGGAGGGAGAGGGGAGCTCTAGTCACTCCTCCAACAAGGCCATACTTCCTAATTCTTCTCAGGACAATTTCATTCCCTGTTTACTAGTCATTCAAATATTTGAGCATATGGGGGCTATTCTCACTCAAACCTCCATGATAAAACCAAGACTACCCATTACACAGGCTAAATTTTTAATCACATGCTCCATACTGAAACACAAGTTCCCACCTGCCCAGCCATGCTCAAGAACAAAGAGACCATTTCACATCATCGCCAAATGAAGAAGATTTAGCTTCATGATAAGGAGTAGTTTAGTCATAGTCCCAGAAAGGTTGGCCCACCAGTCATGTAGCTAACCCTGAATCCTAACTTTGCATATCATGGTATATGTATGCTTTCAGGGAATCTTGGGAATTTACTAGGTTGTTAGTCGTGGTTATTTATGACCAGTAACAGGAGATACATGAACAGAATACAGATTAATGAAACATAGTAACAAAAAAATACAGATGTAACATAAGACATTGGCACCATACAGATACATTTATAACTCAGCTCTTCAGGTCTGCATTCATTATATTTCCTCAACAACATATACTAGGCAGATAATTGCTATGGCAATTGAGAATCAACATCTTCTTCTGCCCTCTGAAATTCACTTTCATGTACACACACGTGCATACATGAGGGACACACATAAGCACAAACACATCAGTACAGACGGGGTCTTAAATATGGATTAGAGTGTGGATGGAGTGCTGCAGTTCTGTTGGGATGCTTGATGAGGATGTTCAATGAGGAAGAGAAGAGTAGAGTTCTAGAGTTGTCCTGGATCATGAGTGATCACCCACATGAACCCAAATATTCGATAGAGAGTATGATGAGAAATCAGGTACAAAAATGTATACAAATACAAATATTTATACAAACATTTTGAAGAATATACAGTGTGTGTGTGTGTGTGTGTGTGTGTGTATGATGTGAGGTGATCTAGAACAATGGCTTCCAGAATGATGAGAATGCTTCAAAATCAGGTTTAACCTTCTACAGATCATTATTCAATGCAAAGCACCAGGATGCCTGGGGAATTGACAATTTTCTGTGCTAGCAAATGAAAACATAAGTCTGACACATATTGTAATTCCAAAGAACAGGAAATATCAATGTGAATATGGTTCTAATGGCTAAATCAAGATGTTAGCTATCAACTGGACACAAAGCCAAGAGGTCAGGTCAGGATTTGTGGTAGGAAGGTGGGGAAACCAATGTCCCAAGACATACTGAAGTCAGCTGAGAAAGTGACTCATCTTCTATTTTTGTCCTACAGGAAAGAGAGCTTGCCCCGGAGAACACCTGGCCAGAACTGAGCTGTTCATTTTCTTCACTACTCTTTTGCAAAAATTTACCTTCAAGCCCCCAGTCAATGAGAAGCTGAGCCTGAAGATCAGAATGGGCCTAAGCCTTACCCCAGTAAGCCACCGTATCTGTGCTGTCCCTAGGCTGTGATGCTGGAGAAGAAAAGAGAGAAAAAGAGCCGGGCAGTGGTGGCACATGCCTTTAATCCCAGCACTTGGGAGGCAGAGGCAGGCAGATTTCTGAGTTCGAGGCCAGCCTGGTCTACAGAGTGAGTTCCAGAACAGCCAGGGCTACACAGAGAAACCCTGATTCAAAAAACAAAAAAAAAAAAGAAAAAGAAAGAAAGAAAAAAAGAAAAAGAGAGAGAGAGAGAGAGCGAGAGAGAGAGAGAGAGAGAGAGAGAGAGAGAGAGAGAGAACAAGAAGAATTGGTGTATGCTCTGAATCTTCTGGGCCTTGGTCACATAAGAGGAGAAAGATGTTACAGAATGAAGGTTGTTCAAGAAATATTGAAGAAATTGAGCTAAGAAATTGAATTAAATTTCTGAATTCCTGGTCCCTTAATTTGGCAGTAGGCAAATCATTTATGAGCTCGATGGCATACCTCTTCATCTAAAAGTTTCAAGGAGAATGATGATTTCCCCAATAAAGAAAATGTATTAAATTGGATTACAAAGGAATCAAAATTCAAAACTAAATTTTAATTATTAGTTAAATTTATACACACTAAGTGCATCGTGAATCCCACCTCAAGTAGTGTGCCATCGCTGTGCCTAAGTCTTACTTTGATACAATCGTATTTGTTACTGGCCCATTGTAGCCTAAAGTGCTGCAAAAGAACCAGAACTGAGTTTCTGGGAGTATCCACAGAAGCAGGCCACAAAACATCTATATGGCAGATCTTTCATTAACTTGTATAGTTCTACTTTCAAGTAGTCCTGGAAACCAGCAGAGCAGGGATATTTCCCAAATCACACATAGGCAAAGTGAGTAGAATAAAATCAGTTTCCTTTTTTATTTAATTTTTTGGTTCTTTGCGAATTTCATATCATGGACCCCAATCTCACTATCTCCCGCTCACCTTGAAACCACCCTCCATTCTTGCAGCCCTCCCCATCAACAGAGGAAAAAAAATTGCCTTGTGAAAGCCATAGTGTCTCACAATGCATCTCTCAGCATACATTCCCTTTCAAGTACTACAGCAGTTCATTGATGTTAGAGGTGACCAGTTCAAAGCCCTGGATACGAGCCTGAGAGGAAAATGAACTCAAAGGCCCACCAGCTCTCTTGTACACACAGCACTGGGACATGAACTCCTGCTTTCCCAGATCAGAATATCCAATGTCCCATCCAATGAGAGGCATAGAGCTCTCTTGTTCTCATTCCCTTTTGCTCCCTTATCCTTGTCTACACTATCAGAGCCAGCTCTACTCTGCTTCCCAGAGAAGGTACATGGCCAACTCCCAAATTCTTAAGTTCTACTCTCTTACCTATGGAAGGTACAGCAACCATTCTCCCAAGTTTTACAGCAGGTGGGGGACAATGCCTGTTCTCACACTCTCATGACCCAGGATCCAACTTTCCTAATCTCCCATGGGTGTCAAGGGGCCACAGACAGGATGAGGGCCTTTCTCCCTCATCCTTTACACCACAGAGCTGACAAGAGCCAGGCTGGCTCTCCAGACCTAAAGCACTCAGGTCCTGCTGGGGCAATTACTTGCAACCCTCATGTTGAGCACAGCCTCTACTGTGTTGGTCAGGAAAGGTACAGGGCCCAACCCCCTCGATGTTGCAGAAGATGAAGGGCAGGGTCAGCTCTTCTGCTTTCAAGACCCTAGGGCCAGCACTCCCTCAGGCAATAGGTATCAAAACCAATTTTTTTTACATGATATAGTCTGACCTTAATATTAGGACTAGGTCATATATGGTCACAGTTAAGCAAGACCTGGAAACAGGTTCAGAATGCAAATTGTAATTCTAGAGCCCTGGTAGTCCTAAGCAGGACAAGAATGACAGGCCTTGTCCTTCCTCCATTCCCTCTACCTTGCTAAAATATTAAATTGATATTCCTAATGCTAGCCAACCAAGGTCTATTCTGATTTCCTTATTTGGCCTCTTTTCACTGTGAGGCTGACATGTAAAGTCTAAGTATTGAAGTCTTGCCTTCAAAAGCCTCATTTTCTCTACCTTTATTCGCATGCCCAATCACAACAAATCAACTCATCCTAACAGGGCTTGCTGAGAAAGACACAGGGCTTTCTCTTTACAAACTTCCTGATAGACATTTTCTCTCACTCAGTAACACAGATATAGGCCAAATTAGACCAGATTAAAAGTAGATAAAGGCAGGTTTATCAGGAGGCAGTTCTGAGGTAGGTTAACTGATCTCCAAGGTAGAGGCCAGTGAAGTCACACATCCAGGCTAAAGCAAGGGGTGTTTATAGAGCTTAGGTGAGAAAGGAAGATGTGCCATCTAAAGAGCTGGTATGGTGTTCACACACTTTCAAAATCTTCTTGGCAGTACTCTTGAGTAGGTTTCCAGAAACAGGGATATGAGGAGTGATGATGTGTTAGCCTGGAGTTCACTCTAAGCAGAGAAAGGAGTTTTCTCTGTGTGGGCAGGAGTGAGGGGAAGGAGAGCAGACAGGCTTTTCCAGCTTGTGCAGGAAATGAGCAGGAATTCCAGCCTAACGAAGCATTTGCCTATGGGATCCATCTGTCTCTTTTCTATTCAGAGACAGTCCTTGTTCCCTCCAGGGCAAAAATATATTCCCATCTTCCCTGTCCCTTTCCCCTTCTCCTTCTTCTATTGTTTTTCTTTTCTTTGCTGCCTATTCCCTGACCTTTTTCTCTGTGGAGCAAATAAATCTCTGAGAACATGGTCTTGGAGTACCTTGGAATAATTTTAAGGTCCTTTAAATAACAGTACTTTGGGTCCAATTACTTGAGCCATGTTGAAGCCCTTGAGATATTTGGGAGTTTTGTGTGCCAGTTGGTCTGTGACACAAAACTAGATGGTCAAATGACACTCCTGTAGGAAACCCTCTTAAGATACATCCATCTGTTTATCTAGAAGGAGTTTGATTTTATGCATACAAGGTCTGTATGACATTAGCATATAAAGACTGAACTCCAATATCACAAGATGGGCTGTCTTATAAAGTTTGTGGGCATCATCTTTGTATTATAGATTACAATTTATACTCTGACCAGATGCTGACATCTAGAAGAGAAGGAAGGCTGAGGCTGCATAGGAGATACAAGAAAACTCTTCATGTATGTCAGTACATGTCAGCTTGAACCTATGTCTGGGCTGAACACTGACCAGTGCACATGGCTATTTCTCTTTTGCCTTCAGTCAGTTTTCAAGGGCCCTTTCCTTCTATTATCATAATAGATTTAATAAGCTATCACCTTCACAGAACTGGTGTCCACCCCTTTAGGGTGTCGAAGTAATAGAGTTGTCCAGCGTCCAAGGTGGAAACACAGAGAAGCTTTCCACTATGCCAGGCCTCAATGACACTAGAAAGTTCAGGGTTCCAAAACCTTTATTGACATGATGTATGATAGAATGTCTAGATGTGCACCCTCCCCCCCACTTAAGCCAGGGTGGGAGCTGACTTAAATAGGGAGGAGAAGGAAGGATCTGGGAGGGAATAACTTAATTAGCTATGCCCTCTGACCTTTAGGTAACTCATTAATATGGAAATTTCTCTAGGGCTGAGGCCTGTAGTCACACCCTCTAACTATAGCCCTACGTGACTGCAAGGCACAGAACAAATGGATATCTTAGACCCTGTGTCAGGAGTCTGGAATCCTGGGACTTGGCAAGATATGTTGAGTCTCTGGCTATCTCAAAGCCAGTGCTCAACCAGAGATCTCATCATCCTTTCATGGTCCTACTTCTTACTCTCGTTTCTTTTATAAAGGAAGGGTGTTGCTGTGTCATCTGTAGTGAAAATTTTGGATGAGGAAGTCAAAAGAAAACACTATGCAGGCATAGAGGGTAGAACAATTAAGTCACAGGGTAAGGGGAGTTGAGGGTGGGGGTTGGGAAGGCAAAGGAGCATTGAACCAAATAAATGCAGGTGGTACAGTTTGAGGGTAATAACATCTGATTAATCTAGATAGACATTATGTTTTCCTTACTAACATGTAACTTTTAGCTATTTGACTTTGGCAAAAATCATCTGTACATCTACATCTGTACATCAGATGTACATCTGTAGCTAGAAGGTCTGGATATGTCTTTAGAACTAAGTGAGCATCTTAGTGAGCATCTCTGGGTTTTGGCGTGCATCCCTGGGTCTCAGGGTGTCTCTGGAGTCTTCAGGCAGACATTGTCTGGAAGGCAGCAGCTTGGTGTTCCAGGCAGATTCTAGGAGATAGCATTGTCTCCCCTGGTTCTGTGGGTGTGCCTGTAGGATAATTACAACAGGGAAGCGGCACCCCAGCAGGGGGATGTCTGCAAAGGCTAGGCCTTAAATATTAAATTGTTCTGGAACAAGCACATCATGGTCTGTCATTAAGATTCTGGAAATGCAAAGGTGTTTGCGGAAATTTTAGTCCTAGAAGGTAACTTTGAGTCTGTTTTGGATGCCTGAGGGGAAAATATCATGTTAATTATGTATCTTGGATAGGCAGCAACAGTTTTTCTGTAAAAGGAAACTAGTTGTTAATTAAGGATTGAAAAATAGTGATCAGCATGTGGATTTGACCTGTGGAAGTAGATTAGATGACTTTTGAACCTTGAAGAAATCTTAAAAAGTTGAAAAAAAGTGTTGGACATGTATCATG